AGACGGGACAGCTGGCCACACACCTGGTGGCCAGCCCTCCTGGCAAGGCCAGGGAACCCTGACTCTTCTGAGGGCAGGGCAGGTCAAGGGCCCCACCCTGGAAGAGGGAAGGCTTCTGGGCAACCAGGCCTGGCCATAAAAGGAAACAAGAGAAGCGGAAACTTTAGGCCCAGAGCCGACAGCTAAAGCAGGGGAAGTGTGGTCAGTCTCTTATGACGGAGCCAGCTGCCCTGCATTGGGTGAAATGAGGGACGCGAAGCTGAGGACAGGATGTCAACTGGGGCCCCAGCTATCAACTCAAGGGCCACCTTTTCCCTTACCACCTCCCGTGGGCTGCTAAATCCCACCCCGGAGGCCGAGCCTTACATCCCACCTGGCCTGGCCCTCCTCAAAGAAGGGTGCTTAGCTTTCCCTGCTTCCCCCAAGTGCTCAGGACCCCACCCTCAGCCCAGATCGTGATCTACCCCATGGAGGAGGCCAAGGTTCCTGGAAGGGGAAGCTGGTCAGAAGAAAGTCATCTGCCCCTCCCCCAGCAGCAGGGCCTGGCTGGTGCAGCGGGAGTTCCTCCCCGCATGTAGTCTCTGCAGAGGAAGAGCAGGAGGAGATAGAGTTGAGGGACAGGCCTCCTCACCTGGAGAATCCCCCGTGGTAAGGAGTCAATGGGGAAACCATAGTTTCCCTGGACTCAGCCCCAGCTTCCCGTCAGGGAGCTGTGACAGCATTGCCACACTGGAGAGGCTTTCCATGCCTGCCATGGTCCTTTTCCAGAAGATGCAGCCTTCTTCCCCACTGCTGGGTTGGCCAAGGATTTCCACTGGAAATGATGACGCTTGGGTGGCCCAGCTTAGATGTCCCCTGCTGCAAGAAAACTTCCTGCAGTCCCCAGGACTAGGCCCAGGCCCAGGCTGACTCAACACCTCCCTCTTAGGGGCCCTTACATGGCTTGTCTTCTCTCATCGTCCTTGCTGCAAGCTTTTGGGTCTGAAATTCTGTCAAGTGGGGTGTACCCTCCTGTCCCTTCCCTCCCCCAGCTGACTTGCCACCTCTTCCAGGAAGCCCTCCCTGATTGGGCAGACTGGGTTAGGCACCTCCTCAGCCCCCATGGCTACCCTCTGTTGCAGGCCCTGACACATCCTGTTGTACCCGCAGGTTTATCTAGCCATCTCCCCAACTACTCTGAGAAGTCCATACAAGCACAGACTCGTCTAGTTTTTCATCACTGGACCCCCAAGCCCAGCCCTAGGACCAGCACAAGGCTGGCCCCAGTAAATGTCTGTTGAATGAATGTCTACCCTTGAGGCTACAAGCCAACAAGCCAACTGATCTTCAGCCTTCAGCCCATGAAAAAAAGCAGAAGAGAACACAAACTCAAGAATTTCCCCTGACCGGGCTGGCCTGTGGCTCACTCGGGAGAGTGCGGTGCTGATAACACCAAGGCCATGGGTTCGGATCCCATATAGGGATGGCCGGTTGCTCACTGGGTGAGCCTGGTGCTGACAACACCAAGTCAAGGGTTAAGATCCCCTTACTGGTCATCTTTTAAAAAAAAAAAAAAAAAGAATTTCCCCTGACCAACAAGGTTTCGATTTCTCATTCCAATTTCTCAAAATCTGCTAAGATTTGAACCGGACACCACAGCCTCTGCCCTGCCCTTCCCATCCCAGAGAGGCAGGAATCTTAAGGCATTAGGGCTCAGAAAAGAACGAGCCCCTGCTCCCACTCTCTTGGTGCATTGGAGAAATCAAGCTTCATAAAAACACAAGGACTTGTCCAGAGTCACACAGCAAATTAGGCCAGAGCTGGGACCAGAACCAGGCTCCTGACCTACCACCACTTTCTCCCACCACATGGTCATGCTTGGGCCTGTGCCACCATCCATCCCACCCCCACTTGCTCTCAGAATCCTCACTGTCCAGGACAGAGGGGTCACAGAGCTTGGTAGGAAGCTCCGGGTGACATCACTGAGCATCTCTCCCAGCTTAGGAAACTCCCCCCTCCTTCTGGGAATTACTTCCCCCCCACACACACTCTGTTCTGCAGGGGGAGTTCACCTTGAAGGTGATGAACACATCTAAGTCCCCAAGGGGGCAAGGATTTCCATTGGAAATGCTGACGCTTGGGGAGCCCCAGCTGTGACCTCATCCCCTGGAGGAGGTGACAACAACCCCCTGCCCTGGGGAGTGGCCCCATAATAGCTCCCCAGCAGCCACTGAGTCAACAATAACATCCTGTTTGAATGGACAAGAGAGAGGGCACAACCAGCTGGGCAGGTAGAAACTGGAGACATGGGTTCTGTTTCCCCTCTGTCTGGCTCACCTCTGACCTTGGAGATTCAGGTCCTTCTTGGGCTTTTCCAATCTCCTTCAACCATTGATGGAATAGGGGAGGGGTGCCCAGCTTACACAAGCATGCTAACCTCTTGCCATTCCCTTGCCCTCATACCAGCAATCCACTCCCCTCTAGACCCTTCTTGCAGGGAGGTCAGGACTACACATTCACATCCTTGACTGGCCCATGTATCAGTGACAGCCCCTGGGGGACAACTCCCAGAGCCCTTCCTGCTCTAGCGAGCTCTGAGGGGTAAAAGACAGGTACGGGGTTCAAGGACACCAAGTAGGTCGTGCTGGCCTGTCCCTCTCCCTGGCCCGAGGTACTCTGTGCCAAGCCTTCATCAGGCTGCAGAGGCAGCAACATCTCCGACAAATGCAGGCTCAGACCCTCCCAGAGCTCCTTGCTCTAATCTTTTCCTACGGCTTGGGGGTCCAAGCAGCAGAAAATAAAGAACCTTCTGTACCTATTCCAGTCCTACCTGTCCTGGCTCAAAACCAAAACCCCAATCTATGCCTCATAGAGAAATAGCTCCAGACCCACCGTCATCCCTGATCTAGTCATTCTTGGAGGCCACCATACCCCCCACCTACTGGTGAACAGGGGTCTAGGCTTACTACAGGCCTGGGAGGGTCCCTCTAACCCCACTCCTGGGTTTACTCTACCCAAGCCCATTCCTGTCCATCTGCCATGTGTCACCCCACAGGAGACAGGAGGCAGCTGTCAGCCAGGCACACCATCACCAGCTGGTGGCCCTAGGATGGCAGGTGAATGGCAGGGCCTGTCTGGCCAGTGGGGCACCTGGCACTGGTGAAGGAGACCACAGATTGTCCTCGAACAAGATTGGTGAGCAGTTGGCAGACCCCAGCCAGCAGTGGTCAATAGTGCATTACCAAGCAGAGGACATGGCCAGTGTGGCTACAGCAATGTGGGCAGGGAAAGGTGGGGGCATGGAACTAGGTTGAGAGCTTGGAAAAGTGGGTAAGAGGGCTGAAAGCAGCTTTAAATAGCCTCAGGGTGGGGACTAAGTGCCCAGGATGAAGAGGTATGCATTAAGTGCTAAGAAGTGGGTGTACATTAATGGGGGGTGGGGTGGTAAGCAGAGCCAAATGCAAGGGGTTTGATGATGCAGGGGGACATTCCAGAACACTCAGACATGGCCATTTGTTCCCTCCAGAGTGGCCACACGTTGTGCTGCACAAGACAGCTAAGGGGAATGAGGCAAGGCGAAGATGCTGGCAGGGCAGAGGAAGCCTGGGCTGGAGCTGGTCTGACTGAGGGTTGCACAGGCATCCACAGAGCTCCAGCTGCCTGCTCCGCTCTCATCCGGAACATCTCTGGTTGAGTGGCAGAGCTGACCCCCTGAGCACCTCATTCATGATTGGAGAACCATCTAAATCCTTCTCCATTCCCTAACCCAGAACCAGGACTGGTCCTGTGCCAGATCAGAGCCCTGGCCTGCATGTGAGCTCCCAGCTGCCCAGTGACCTTGGGCAAGTCACATTCCTTCAGCTGCTGCAGCAGTTCGGGCCACTCGTTTTGTGTGGGTTTTTTTCCCCTCTGCTAAGAATACCTGCCCCAGATAATGCTGAGACTCCTGCAATTCTGCGAATTGCTTAAGGTATCAAAAGGTTTCTGTTATGGCCAAACTGGACCAGTCCCCCCAGCCCCCTCTGTGAGTCCCCAACCACCACCACAGGGGGGCCGCAGAGACGCCAAATTTGGCGACAGAGCCGAGGAGGTAGGGAAGCATTTGTGTGCAGTGCAGAGGAGGGGAGCTCAATTCCACAGCAGAAAGCCTTAACGCCCGCCCAGCCGGCTTTCTGTCCCATTGTACAAAGGTCTAAAGTGAGGTGCCCCTGGGGGCATTCCAGTCCCCAGGTTCTCATATCCACCGTGGACTAAAGCCTGCACCTCCAACCCAGATTCGCTGCCTGGGGGGTCCCAACAACCGCGCCCCACCCAACGGGCACTGCCCCCCACGCTGGTGCCCATTTCTGGTGACAACTGCCACGTGTGGGCAAGGGGGGAGCGGCCGGTCCCGGGATTGCGGGATTGCGGAGGCAGTGCCCGGGTACCCCAAGACCCAGCACCGCACCGTTTCCTGGCTCGCTGCAGGGTGCCCACCCTCTTGCCTGGCCGGCACTCTGGGCCGGGGCGGGGGCGGGGGCAAGCGGCGGGGTCTTTGTTCCCGCAGCCGAAGCTCGGCGGCGGTGGCAAGGGGTCCGTTCCCTCCTCGCCGGTCCAGCCTGCGCCCCGAGCGCCAGCAGAACCTGCAGCTCAGGAGGAGGGGGCTGGGTTGGAGGCTCTCCAGGTCAGGGGTCCTGCGCAGAAGCCCCTGAGCCGCAGAACTGAACGCAGCTCCGGGCCCGCCCCCTCCCCCAGTGCCCGGGCGCTGCGGCTTCGGGTTGCTGGCGGACTTGGAGCGACTTAGCCGGGGCTCCAACCTCCGCCGCTCGCTCGCTCGCCGCAGCATTACCACCGGCCCCGGCGTGCCAGAGAGCACAATCGCGCACAATCACGCACACTCACCCAGACCCGTACACTCACCGCAGGGACAGCCCGGGACCCGCAGAGCCGCGCGCACTCACTCCCTCTCGGTGCCGCACACTCTGCACCCGCCCGGCGCTGCGCCCGATTCTGCGCCCCGCCGGCCGCGCGGCACCGCCTACCTTTCCAGACAGCGGAGACGCGGGGTCCGTTCTTCGGGTGGCCCTGGGCAGAGGCGGCGGCCGCCCAGAGCAGCAGCAGTAGCCGCAGCGGGAGCCCGGACCGAGCCTGCGGGCCAGGGACGCGGGCGCGCGGTGCGCTGGGGGCGGCACGTCCTGGCGGAGGAGGCGTCATCCCGCGGCCCCGGAGCGACAGCGGCAAGACTGAGCCAGCGCCCGGCCGCAGGCACAACCTAGCGCCAGGAGGCGGAGTTAAATGCCTGACCCCCCCCCGCCCCTCCCCCGCCGCCTTGTCTTGCCTCCACGGCTTCTGCTGCACTGAGGAGCCTTCGCCACCCGCTCCCGTGCAACTCCACGGGGAGAACCCGGCTGCTGCGGGCAAGACGGACTTGTGGTTGGTCTTCAGTCATCGGCGGCAGGCCCCATCCCCTCTCTGGGCCTCAGTTCCACTCCCCCAACCCCATAAAAGGACTGGCCTAGAAGTCGCGGAGGACCTCTATAGGGCCACAGGCAAGTCCAATACCAGACATGCTCGCTACGGCCAGCTAAGTGGTTTGGACCCTGGACCATGGTTCTCAGAGGACACGCATGCCTGAGTGGTCACGGCTCCCTGCTGAGCCTATCAGCAGGAACAAGATGCTTTCCCCTGGGGGGGCGGGGATGATGTACTGGGAGCACTCAGCGCCCCATTATTGCTCTGTATGTGAGAACACTGGGAAAATTTCATCTTGGCCTGGCTCCCTCCCCTCCCTTTCCCTTCTCCCTTCCCCAGCAAGCAGCCTTCTGGGCTGCCTCCCCGCACCCCACCCC